AGTGAAAAATTATCACTGCTAAGGTGACAGCAAATATATCAATGGTCATCTTTTTATGTAGATATAGTTAGTCATATACATTGTCATTAAACAGATGAGCTGGTTGGAAGAAATCGTTTCCCATTTTCAAAGTAATTTCCAAGATTTAATTAGAAATTTTCATCAATTTTAAAAAATGCTGTATTTTTAATCGCTTTTTTTTTTTTTTTTAAAGAAATCACTAGTTACCAAAAATAAAATCTTCAAGTGGCTTTCTAGCACAGGTGAACAAGTTTTACATTCAAAAATATATTAATTTCAAAATAAGACCGCAGTTCGTCTACGAACAAAACTCGTGTGTTTTCATGTTACGTAAACTCGCAACATGTCTTGACTTCAACACTTTTATCTCATTTCAACAAATTGCCAAATACAGGATAAAACCTTTCGCCCCTATCGAGCAACACAGCACAAAAGACAGTTGGTTTAAGCGGGTTTTTAAACATCAATTTCACAATGAATAGCATCCAGTGTGTCACATAAAGAAGCTCGGATAGAAAAGTGAATAAGTCAATTGAAATCAAATATTGGATTTCAATGATGAAACTTATACATTTCGCACTCCGGTTAAAATATCCTATCTGTAAAAAGATCTCATAGATACTTGACGCACTCTACCTATTAACTTGGAAAAGTGTGAAAACCGCAAAAACTTTAGCTGAATACTCTATAGGTAATTTAAGGAGATACAGTATTATTTTTTATTTTCAGTGAAGAATTTATATTTGAATGCAAAGACGACAAGATGAGCAGTTCTGTATTTATAAGGGTCATTGACTTAACAATATGCAGGTTACTTTAATAATCTAGCCAACTGGAAAGCCCTTTAGTTTACACTAGCCTAACCAGGTTACCACTTCAAAATCACAAACTTCCTTGTAAGTAGTTACTTATTCATTTGAATCAGAAAACTTTTAGGTTGATGCTTCAAAACAACATGTGGAACAAAGTGCAGTCTCGAAAAGTTGTATTTCAGTAAACTTTCGAACTAGTCAAAATTCATTATTGCCAATTTAATACTTCCCTAAAATTATATATATTTTTCTATAAAACAAAGTAACAATTCACAAATTTGGCTCAATCTGTATCCCAGTCTTTTCCCCTGTATACCAGATTTCCTGTCTAAAACAATTCCATAATAGGTGAACTCTAATAAAGAACACAAGGTCACACAAAATACTTCAAATGTATAAATAACATTCAGATAGCATACATTTCTAGATTTTCTTTTTCCGAAATTGTTCAACATAGATAACTTACATTACTTCAAGAGAGTAATTCCATGTTAAGTTTTTCTTTTCAAAATTTCAATGTATTCCCAATTTAATAGTGTAAAATATGACCTTGTATGGACCAAAAAAGCACACAGCAATAATATAATTTCATAAACAGAACAAATATAATAGCAATATATGAATATATTGTAATTTTAAAAAGAATTCTTACCAATTTGAGCAAAATAGATAACTATATTCCTTTTCATTTCCCCCCTTTTTCACATATTCCCCAAGGCTATTGACCTGTTTCACTCGAACAAATTTTCTTCTCATGTTTGTATATAAATTCATTGTTCATTTCTGTTTGTCACACTTCATTATTCATTCCATTACTTAAAACTTCTTTCAAGAGATCATTTTCAACCAGTGTACACTTCTTATACCTCTACACAGGTACCTCTAGCCTTTATGTCATAAGCAAACATTCACACTTCCACACAACACATTGGTCCATTTCGTTTAAATAAAGTATTAAAATCCATTTCCTATACATCTGATTCACACATAGTACTAGATTGTATAAATTTTTCCAACTTTTTCGATCAAATTTTAAAGCAAAATTCAAGTATTCCTCAATCTGAACATGTTAAACTTTACATATTTTTCTCTCGCAATTATTTCAGACAATAACGGAAGCCACTTATCGGAGGAGTAAACAAGAACAAAGATTTTAACGTTACGATATTCTTTTTTTGGCGGTCGTAAGCTATCGTGGCTAACCATGTGGGCTTAATAGGGCCTTCAATGTAAAATGGTTAACTGTGAACGGAGTCGTTCAATACGAGGGTTTTTATGTCCTATCATTGCGGGGATTATCTCTACCAAACAAATAACGGGCAATGTTATAATAGAGCCCATGTATTTATTACAGGTCGCCGTGTATATACCTGTACAAAAGGTAGTTCTCCCATTATAAACTTTAATTATAATACATTTATATTCTTCCCATTGCACAAGTATGAAGTTTTTTTTCCAAAATTCATTTTTTCTTTTTTGGTTCAATGCACGTAATTTTCCTATCCAACTTTAACACTTGAATTAAAGTTATTTAATACTTTTAAGATCCTATTTCTTATCAGGTACAATTTTTTTTTCCTTACTCAGGGCACTCGTTTGGCCATTTTTGGGGCCGAATATCGGCCCCATTCCCCTCTCAAAATCATATGCTTTTTTCCCCTATTTCAGCAGAAAATTCCCCTAAAAAAAATTATAGTATAAATGTTTGATATTTAACAAAAAAAGTGGTTTTGATTTCATAAAAATAAAATATATTTCTGTTTAACTTTCAATGGATTGAAAACTAAATTACAGTTGTCAACAACGCTGTATGTTAAAACCGAAAGTAGCAGGAAGTGAGAAATGTACAAGGGAGGTAACTCTCGTAAAATTATTGACAAAATTAATGTGGCAGATAATCATCGTAGGAGTTTACCTTATATTCAATTTGTTTAGAGAATAGACATACATTGTCATATTCTGCTAGTAAATAAACAAAACTATTTTAATTTCTGTCAGTTGTTGTTGGAAAACACGTATTTCTCTTGCAGTTTTGTACTCAAATATTTTCGTACCAAATATTTTCATACCCAGTTTTACAGTTACAGAATATTTTCTCTGAAACCAAAACCTTTTTTAGAAAAGGCATAAAACTTTCTTGTTATTTTTATTTAATTCTTATTTCAGTTCTCATTGTTATAATTGTTTCAATCTAAAGAACAGGCAGAAATATGTAGAAAATAGATTAAGAACTGACCAGTGCAGATTGCAAAATAGTGTGATACATTTTTAACTTTAAAAATAAAGAAACAATTAATGACTATAATAGGAAATAATTTTCCTGTGTTTCCATAACTTGGGTACAACATACCCTTGCCTAGGAAAGTCTCCCTTTCCAGAGCTTGTTGCACTGATTCAATTTTTGTTGTACAAGTTTTTTAAAAAAAAACAACAACAACAAAAACAACTGTCAGTTTTATTTTTTTATCATATATAAAATAAAAATGCATTATGCTTGTTTTAGATTTTAATATAACCCTAACGTTTTTCAGAATTTGCATTTTACCCCTCACTTTAGAATTTGAGGGGTATAAAACCCTTGGCCAAAAACATATATCTGGAGCTCTGATTGATGTCTGAGTCAGTCAAGTGCAATAAGAAAGCAATAAAAAAAACAATGAGATAGCCTATCTCAAGAAAAACTTCATGTTATATGTTTTATTTGTTAAGTCTATAGTAATAAATATACTAGCTATTGTAAGTAATGGTAGCAAATTGTGCCAAGAGTTAGTGTAAAACCTAAATTTAAAGAACTCATATATGGCTTAAAATTCCCCTTTTTGTCTTAAAATGACGCAAAATCCCCTTCCTGAGGGTATGGGTACCTGTCCCCAAAAGTTGTCTAGTGCCCTGTTACTGAAATTCACTTTGTTTCCATAAAAAAAATTTATTCAATATTTAGAAAGTTATATTTACAAATATTTACTGACAGCCAGTATTTGGTATATATATATGGTTAGCAATAATATTTACAAATACCATATATTTACTGGTGAAGGAACAACTAGATGCTTCACTGCACATTATTTCAACCAGCAACTTTCTTGTAGACTGGTTGGTTGGCTTTCTTGCATAAAAGAACTTGAAGTCCTTGGTGGGATTCAAACCCACAGAGATGAGGTGCAAGTGGTTCAAAGTATGCCACAGAGGCTCGTCTTGCAAAAAATATACAAAAGTTCCAATTCAAAGCAGGATATAAACATAACCACCAATTTTCAATTCAGAACGGTAAACCTTCATAAAAAGTGTTCACAGGTAGGCCGAATTAAATCATTTTCTCATCATAAAATGGCAACTTTAACCCCCGAATATTTGGCTACAGGAAGACCTGTCGTGACACGAGAAACAAAACGTACATGTCATTTAGATTTCCGATACTGGGCACAAGTGATATCTCCAAATCTCCAATATATAATACGCTGTAATTTGTTTTAGGATAATGGGAGATATTCGACAAAATCAATGATTGAACATCAATAAGATAAGAGGTAAATTTGAGAACCGAAGACATGTAATATGAGCCTTATCTCCTTATGTGTAGCAAATATTAAAATTAAACCCATTTTTGCTACCGAAAAATTAAACCCAATTTTGCTACCAAAATTCTGTCAATTTTAGAACAATAACAGCTTTTACATTTATGGCTGCATTTAATAATTAATTATTCACATAAAGTAATATTTTTTTATATTAACCATCAACCTACTCCAGGAACCAGAAGTGATTAGCCTTTGCCACCAGTATCACTGTATGGAGCCAGGCCAGCCTGCACATCCATGCAGTCTGACCAGACTTGATACTGTTAACTGAGTAATTTAAAAAATTTTGTTTTCATATCCCCAAAATCGATAATGGGACAGTTCCAAATATTAACACAGGGCAAGTCAATTTAAGAAATTCTGCAGGTTTCAGGTTAATTTCGCGTTAATTAATGTCAATTGACCTAATTCACCACAATGGAAAAGAAAATTTGCACAATCATGTACATCTTATTAAAACCAATGAAGTAACCATGTATAATAAGTACAAAAATTTAAGAGCCCTCTTGTTCAAAATTAATGAAATGAATACAAAAACTTAATTTTATGTCTCACTTAAATATTGGACATCCTACTGAAATTTTACACGCTATTCAGAACTTCTTAGAGGACTGAAGAATTTCAACATAATTTCTCAGTCAAAAGGTTTTCATCCCAATAGCTTTCTCTTTTTCCTTCTTTTTATTATTCAACATAGCTAAATCAAATAGTATAATGTACTTCCCCTTCCCATTACGTTTCTACTAAATTTATATTTTCATGAGGTGTTACACAACTCTGAACTGTTCAAAAGGAATTATGTTATGAAATAGGACAGACTTTCTCAAAATTAAATTCAACCTTTTCCAAATTCGAACCAGGAAAAAAGCCATGCCAAAATTTCAGCTCGTAACCCTCAAACTTAAGTATTTAAAATGCTGCTATTCAGAACTTCTTAGAGGACTGAAGAATTTCAACACATACACTTTTCAGTCTTAAAAGTTTCATCCCTATAGCTTTCACATTATTTTAGCAGTGAATTTATGAACTTTTTACCATTACACTTCCTTTTTACAGTTTTAGGTATCTATATACAAATTGAATGTTAATAAAGTAAATTATGGCATCATGATTATTTGCTTAACCATTATATTTAATTACTCTTAAGTAGGATAAAAGTGCTATTCAGAACTTCTTAGAGGACTGAAGAATTTCAACATTAATATCTCAGTCAAAAAGTTTTCATCCTAACCCTAACAGCCAATTGATTCTTTCTTTTATTAATGTATTAAAAGCTACAGTGACAAATTGTTGTCCCACAGAACAACCCTTAAGTAACCCTGGAATATGCTAATGCATGCATAAGTAACAGAACTGGTGAGGGTTTCACTAACATTCTGTATGTTTTACGTAAATTTGGACTTGCGCAAAACGAAAATTTACGTTAGTTGCATTTCACTAAACAGAACATACAACTTACGCCAGTAATAAGTGAGCGTACTTTTACGTTTAAACCTATGCAAATGCGTAGCTTAGAAAGTTTAGTCAAACACAAATAAATATGTATGTTCTACTTATACAAAAAGTTACGTTCAAACTCGAGTTACGATAACTTAAGTATGTAAGTGAAACATACCCCTGATGTTTATTTTCCATCGAAATGCATGGCACAAATTTACTTCAATTATAAAATGCTGCTATTCAGAACTTCTTAGAGGACTGAAGAATTTCAACATACACTTTTTCAGTCTTTTAAGTTTCATCCTTATAGCTTAAATAACTGGTGTAAAGAAAGCAGAAAAGAGATTTTACCATATTAAGCAGAATCTGATATATTCTTCAGCTTTTTTCTTTCAATTGTAAAATACAAACATTAATTAGTTTATAGCTTAATTTCATGCATTTAATATCTTAACATAGAACCTTTATGCTTCCTAGTTTGTTTTTTCTGGTTTTTAAACACAAATTTTAATTAACACATGTTTTTGGTCATATCTCAGCGGTTCACCCACCTAACAAGCCTTCCTGGATAACTAACCAGTCATCAACCAACTTCTCTACATTTGACCAACTACTAATCACACCCGATTTGTGAAATCAACAGTGAGAGACAAATGAACATAAGCATGTTCTAGACCAATTATCACAGAAATTACCCCAGACCTGAAGATTGAATCAGCAACCTCTTCATTGCTAATCCTATGCTCTCCCTATTGAGCTGAGACATGGTATGGAAGATGGCCCTTGTGCTGTTATAGAAATTCTTAGTAATAATACTGCCAACAATTTTTATGAGGTTGACAAGCCATTAAACATGCAGCTTTCTATATATGGATTAAAATAAGGCTTTTCAGAACTTCTTAGAGGACTGAAGAATTTCAACATTAATATCTCAGTCAAAAAGTTTTCATCCTAACAGCCAAATAGTCTAGAATTGTGAAAGAACAATTTATAATGGTTCTTAATACAACTATTATTCTGCATAACTTATCTCAGTTTTTCTATCAAACATCTTTTAACATACTTTATAACAAATGAAGTTCAAATACTTTATTCAGGTCAGATAGTCAAAACTTAAAAAAAAGTTAACTTTCACTCCATATCCTCGATCAATTACCACAGAGAAAGTGAACCAATTGCCTGAAGATTGAACCCCTAGCAACCCCTACATTACTTATCCTATGCTCTCCCTATTGATTTAAGAAGGTGGAACTGAGTTTCCTAGGACCAGTGCAGTGAACCATTGTACAGATCATGGTATGGAAGATGGCACCTTATGCTATTATAAAAATTCTTAGTAATAACTGCCCAATATTCTTATGAGGTTAACAAGTCATTAAACATGCAGCAGGTAGTCTATGGTTAATCACAGTCCATCCACCCATTCAGGCACTGAGAGTACAGATCCCTTAAACATGTAGCTTTCTATATCAGGATTAACATAAGGCTTTTCAGAACTTCTTAGAGGACTGAAGAATTTCAACATCTAATTTCTCAGTCAAAAAGTTTTCATCCTAACAGCCAAATAGTCTACAACTGTAAAAGAACAATTATAATAAATCTTAACACAACTATATTCTGCATAACTTATTTCAGTTTTATCAAAAATCTTTTAACATGCCTTAGAATAACTGACCCAAGGTTTAATACTTTATTCTGGTCAGATAATCAAAACTTAACATGTTAACTTTAACTTCTTACACGCTTTTTTTTTCCGGCTTAAAAAAAAATAATTTAAGATTCTATCAATTTTTGTCACTTCAAATCACATATTGTTCAATCATTATTTATACAAACTTATGCTTTATTACAATACCATATAACACTTGATATAACATTTTTTGTTACCGAAGCATTACCAGGTTTTTTTACAATCTTTTCATTCATATTAAAAGATAGCTGTATACATACAGATCCTATTACATACCATATGATCTAAAGATCCACTGATGAGTTTTTAAAATCAATATTTAACACTTGAATTAAAATTCCATACATGCTAAGATAAAAGATCCCCCGATTGGTGCACTCAGATTTATATTCAAGACCGTAAAAAAACTATTAATGGGTTTACATCGAATGTTTGTAACATGTTTTTTTCCGTAATAGACAGAACACTGGCTCACAATCACTTCTCGATTTCTAAGACTATTTGGGGTTTTTATTTTCTTTTTAAAGTCACAGTGACACAGTACAAGTGACACTCTGTAGGTAAGTAAAAGTTTTGGAGTCCTTTACATGATTTTGACTTGTGACTTACAGAAGGTATAGTTTTTTCTTCTTCACCTATAAAATGTGACTTCCAATTTCAGAGATTTTGCAGTCTCTGACCTCCAATTTTGGAATTCAATGCAAGTCCTATTACAGATGGAGAAAGACTTTTCGTCCATTAAATCAGACATGAAAATGGCATGCCGGTAGAACCAGTGACTTTCGAGAAAACCTCGATAGCTTCGACACAAGAATTCTTTCACCAATGGCGAGGATACTGTAAAGTAATAATACATTCAAAAGATTTCTAAAAAGGAATCTTTAATTGTATCAAACTAAAACTTTAAATTTTTCACTCTTATTTACAATATATTTTTAAAATCATTTAAGCCACAAGATACATCTTATAACTATATAATCATCATTTTAAGGCAGTACCGGGTTAAGTTCTTATATAATTTTATAAGAGTTTACACATTACTGCACTAAAATGACATACATTAGAAGAGACCTATACCTTTCAGCATTTCTACAAGAATGCTATCTTATAAATTGAATATTGACATGTGTCAGCCATGGGAACATCTTATTATACATTATATATCAAAACTACTAATTAATTTCCACAACACTGATCCACATACCTACCTCTCTCTCCTCCAAAAGCCGGGTACCAGCATCTGTTGTATTGGTGGAAACAAGTATAAAGGCCGGGGCAAGTGCAATACAACAACATCACAATGCATTTCACCAACACCAGCCCTTATACAAGCCCCCCTTCCTCTTTTCCTCTGCAATTGAAGTCTCCACACACAATGTAAATCCAAAGAAAAACAAAGTACTAGGTTTATACTGTCAACAGTCCTGAGTTCAAGCACTAGTCTACTTGACATAAAGTTAATACATGATACAAACAATTTATATATTACAACTCAACAACCACAGAAGTTTCTATTTCAATTTTTTTTTTACAGTCCTAACTGCAGGTCACTATTGTATAATATGCTTTACAGAATTATTCACCTTTGAAGAAAATTCTCAAGCTCTAAGAATAATCAAGCTTGCTGTCCTTGTTTTTGTGAAAATATTTAGAATACTTAAACTACGAAAGATTATACATATATTTAAGGCATTACATTTTTGTCCCTATATGCATGTTCCAATGTTTTCCTGTTTTAGATGGCAGATATATATGATTGCTGTTGTATATTCTTTATGTGTTACCTTCCCTGAATAAAGATAGCATTACAGCGGGTTTTTCCTTATTTAAGTGGTACCGAATAACCGACCCATTCACAATCACGAACAGTCTTTCACAATTTTCAGAATGGGTCCAACGGACCCATACCAAGAACTAAATTCACAATTTAGTGTCCAGCTTTATTTGTCATCTAATGAAAACGCTGTATTTCTTAAAAATTGTGTGTGTTAATTTTCATAAAAGAACTAGTCAATACTATATCGAATTCCGTTCATGGTCGCCTTCTATTTTTCATAGTTCTTCATAGAACCGCATAGTGATGTAATTAAGTGAATAATAATCAGGCCAAATAAACCTTGACGCTAAGTATGTTAGTCTTCATACGTAGCTGTTCTACAGAAATTAGAAACATTCTCCTGTCACTATCGTCAAAGTTTCAAATTTCTGTAGAACAGCACGGATGAACACTAACATATACTTAGTACTTATTAAACTTTAAAGCACTTCTAACTATAATGTATAATAGAAAAATAAGAAGATAATTAACTTACCATTGAACATATTCAGAACTTTCATTTATCTCCAATTTGAATGTTTCCAACTTTAAACATAACATTGTCCACCATCTTCATGTCCAGCTCACAGAATTATTAGAGTGTCTGGAAACAGAAAATTAATCCTTTTGAATTGACAAGAAATATTCCCTCTTTTTTTCATAGACTTGTATAGTAAATGATTTTCTTAAACTTCCAGTCAAAAGTTATGGTGTTTTTTTTTTAAATATATACATCTTTAAATAACCAACGTTTGCTGCCTGACAAACAAGTGTGACAAGTAAAGAAAAACGAAATTATTAGACTCTCTTTATTTTTTCCAACATTTTGAAGCACATCACAAAGAAAAGATTCAAACAGGTAACTGTACTACACTACACTATGTACCACTATACTCAAATGTCTGCATAACTTCAAGTGCACACATTTATACATGGGGAACAATCTAAAGTAAATATTTGATTTTGGACATTATACATACAAAACGCTCGGGCTCTTTTTAATACCAACAATTTAATCCCAAAGTCTTGTTTGGACATGACCCGCCA